GGGGCCAGCGCTCACCATGCGCCATGAGCCCGGGGCTGGCTCCGGCACCGCGCATGCGCCACGTGCCCGGGGCCAGGCCAGCCCTGGGCACTTGGCGGGCGCACACAAATGCGCCCGTGGGCGCCATGGCGCCCGCGGGCACCGTGTTGGGGACCACGGCTGTAAGTAGTTATCACTAGAGATTCCCACTTCACTTTTTAAAAGGTGTATTTTTGCTACCAGCCCTGCACACAGACAGCTTTATCCAAATTATTTTTTCATGTCATCGTTTTCCATGTCTATCTACAACTCAGCCACAGTTATTTGACAGTTATCCCATGATTCAAGTAGGGCGTGTGTGCATGCGTGCGTGCGAGAGAGAGAAATCATCTATTATATGTACACACACAACATCTACTATATATTTTGGAGAGTTTGTGCATCTGTTGTCTGTCCGAGTCCATCTGTTCAAGAACTCCTCCTAAACATTATGGATTAGACCCATCAAATTTGGTATGCAGTGTCCTTTTATCATAACTTAAAGCAAGGTCAGGGTTTGCTTGTGCCAGGACAATGGGATGTGTGTGGAATGCAATTGTTTCACATCAAACGGAAAGGGAGTGACCATACGGACAGTTAACTTATAAATGACCATAGGGAACAGCAAGTGCCTCAGCCCCTCGAGGTGGAAGGGTAGCAACCAATGGTGCCACATTGCTTCCGCCACCCCTCGGGAGCAGCCACCCCATGATGCAGCACCCCAGGGATGGCCTCCCTCTCCACTTCTTTCAACAGGCTTGGGGAGAAGCAGGCAGTGGAGCCATGCAGTCCCTACTACTCTGGGCAAGCCCAGGTAAGTCTTCTAATAGCTACAAAAAGAAAATACATAATACTACTCAGTTATGTAAATACTCATCTACCCCAATACCCAACTATCAAGGATTGTTTGGAAATAATGAAATCTACTTGCTATGAATGGAGAAGAACTAGTAATTCTTCCCACTCAAATTACTAACAATAGGTTTAATTGGGGAGAATTTCAGGAGGTATTAGTTCATCTTAATATAAAAGCAGGAAACAAAATACAGTCTGTAATAAATGCAATGTGTCAATTTAGAAGGCATTTTTAGAGTAGAAAAGTCATACAATACTCATTCAAGTTTTTGTTGTCAGTAAACAAACCTATCTATTCCTGATTTTAATATTGGATAGACTTTCATGAACTAAATTATCAATTTCTCTAAGCAATCAAAACTACTAACCCAGACAACCAACATGATTATCTAGGTTTGTAGATCCTGCACAATACATGGTACAAGTCACATTAACACTTCATGTGAGCAACACATGGGAGAGTAGGTTCTCGTAGCCAACATTTTCCATCAAGTTTGATAGCTTTAAGAAATATACAGTAAGAGAAAGATCCTGTGTGTCCAATTTTGTGACTTTATTGCTTATGAAAGTAAGTAAAAATCATAAGCTAGCTATAAGACAGGCTTAATACTGATAAGCTCTCTCACAACAGTGCTCTGCCAGAGCATTTGTGTTTTAATTTACAAAACCTGTATTATTCCAGTGCTGGCCCGGTCTTGATCAGAAATGCCAACTGTGTCAGAGGTTGTATGGTTGTTTTATGTGACCAAAACACACACTAATGACTAGGAAGACACTTCAAAACTATTTTTATTTGCAACTTAAAATAGGATTTGAAACCAGGTCTCAGGCTAAAAGTTAAAGAATGACCCAGCTGCACACAACCTAGCAGAAAATAACCTTTTGGGTAAGAAAGACGATGACATGCAAGAGAAATTTGATGGCATAACTGCATAACCTAGTAGTTTTTACGCCAGTAATTATGAAATACTAAAAAAAAAAAAATTTACATTTTGGTAAACCAGTTATAAAGTCCACCATTTCAACCTGTGTTTAACAGACTGAACAGCCAGTTGATGCGACACTCTGTGGTGCTATGGAGAAGGGGGGACCCTCTTGAGATGGACATGATCCCAAAGCCTAAGTTAAGTCTATGTTTATATTTACTCACTGGAGTGTTAAGTCAAATTTTCAGTTTATGTACTCACCCCCAACACTTCGTCTTCTCCTTCTCTTACACTGACTAGGAGATTCACTTTCTTCGTATCCTTTCAGTGAAGGAGTAGCATCAAAAGCATCAATACCCAACATAGCAGGTATTTTTCTCATGATAAATTCTGGTACACGTCCTGAATTAGATGTTTAGAGAATATTTAAAAAAAAACCCACACACATTTGAATGGAAATTACAATTATATAAAACATTTCATATAAATACAGTCATTTCAACAAATGTTATTCAGTTATCTTACCAACATCTACTGCACGATCAATAAGTGTTTGCACAACAGCAGCCTGCAAACGAAGCTTTTTTTCAGTGTTCACGGACATCTTTTCATTATCACTTGAGTGCAAGAGATTTGGAGCAAAAATCACTGCCAGATTACTGCTATCCATTTTGTTCTCACTGGATCTTATTAAAAACGAAAGAAAAAGATTGCAAGTATCAATTTTGTCTTTACATTATATCCACTGATCAAAACACAAGCAGCGAGAAACAGAGAAAACAGGCTTAATGCAAATTTTCAGTTGAAACTAAGTATTGCATTTGTGAGAACACACCTTCAACACACTGAACAACACAGAACATTCAATGGCTCATACATGCTACTTAGCATAACATTTTCTATAAGAGCAAGAGGCTCATCCTGATGGGGATCATTTCATTAGCTGTTCTTTTGGGAAAGATGAAAGTATAGCAGCCAGAAAACAGGAATACGAGTCAAGTTCCTGCTACATGAAGACCCCATGACATACACCTAAAAAAGTCAGGAGATGACATAATGCTTACATTATTGCAGGTAAATTATTTCTGACAAGAGAAAGTTACAGTATTCTTTTGTTTCTAGACATGAGGCACACTCAGAGTTGGTTATTAGTACCATACCTATATTTCTCTACTTACCTTAGGGACACATTTCTGAGAAAGTTGAAAAAGTATCGCAAAGCATCTATTGTTCCGTCAGCCACAAGACAGGAAAGCAGCACTGTGGCAGTGTTCTTATCCTCATTTTCTAGCTGCTGAGCCTTGAAAAGAGCTTCCTGCAGATGAGTTGGAAGGATTGGCTCTGGTAACTCTCTAAAGAACAGTTTAAGAAGCCCGGCAACATCACATGGCAATGCTGTAGGTAGGCAGTTTTCACCTTGATCCAGTTGACTCTGAAATGGTTCATAACTAGCATAAGTTGAGGCCTTCAAAAGAGATTTATTAGATGTCTGTTTTGAAGTTTGTAGACTTATCATACACAAGTAGTTACACACTCAAAGCCCCTAACCACATAGCAGCTTAGATATTTTGGTTTCTCTCTAATCCTTCCATCTTTAACTCTCCATTTTTTTCATATACCCATGGTGATGAAATAAAGATATGGATGTATTGCTTCTTGTCAGTCCATACTGCAGTGGGAGAAAGCTACCAATTTTAAATTACCAGGAAATATAAAAATATTTTGTTTACTCTCATTCCCTTCCTCAAACTCCAGAAAGCTGGAAAAAAAAACAGTTCAGTTGTTTCAAAATAACTGCACAAAGGAAAGGTGAAGAAGGTCCGGTCCAGTAACTAGTAATCAAAAAGCATATCTATAAGTGAATGTTTCTAAAGATAAATCAGAAAGCTAGACATATAGACATTTAGATAAAATATAGCTCAGGTCCAATACAATTATGCTTTTAAAAAAAAAGATACCTTTAATGTTTTTAAACGAACAAAAGATCCAGATTTCCTGAAGAGTCCTTCAGTGTTAACATGCTCTTCTAAACATTTGCAAGCATCAACAAGAAAGCTGAGGAAAGAAGTCACAGGACATTTGATATCTTTGCACAGTTCAATTTTCCTGTGATAACGTCACAAGAAAATAGCATCTTAGAAAATGTTTACTTTCTCCAGTCATAGTAAGAAACTGAGAGTAAACAACCCTTTATGACAGTGCAGAGAAACATAGTTTAGGTTGGGGGCTACTGACCCATGGGGGGAGGGGAGAGAGAAAAAAAAAATCAGAGGCTGAGAAGCAAAATATAAATTAAAAAAAAAATCCACCAGACCCAATGACCTATCCCTAAGTGAGGAGGTGGGGGAGGGGGGGAGAGAACCCAAACCCTTAACGTATATGGCCCTTCAATTGAGAAGCAGGAAAAAGATACTCACTCCTTCACCTCATTCCCTTCCAGCTCCTCCAGCTAGGGATGTTAAATTTTAATTAAATCAGCTAATCGAGTAGGCAATGGAGTTTCCATTGACTACTCAATTAGTCGATAAGGGGGGGCGCTCCCTATCCCGCTGTGCCTCTCTTTGAAATGTACAAGAGCCACCCGTGGCTCTTGTATATTTCAAAGGGAGAAAGGCCACAGGAACCCAGAACCAAAACAAGTCCTCACTGGCATGGTTTCTCCTTTTCCTTTGAAATGCACAAGAGCCACTGGCGAGAAGAGAAGCAGCAGTCAGGCCTGGCACAAGAGGGACTGTTTCCATCTTTTAAGTTGGCTCCCCCAACGCAGCACCGGCTCATGCTCCCCGACTTGCTGCCTCTCTCTGATACAGGAAGCATGGGGGGAGGGGAGAAGTGACTAGTCTACTTCCTACTTGACTATCTGATAAGCATTTGCTTATCAGGCAGTCAAGTAGTGGACTAGTCGCTTACATCCCTACCTCCAGCCCCACAAGGAATGAGGGAGTGGAGGTGCTGAGGCTCAGGTATTACCCTTCAGGGCTGGATTAATGCTTCTAGGGACTTGGAGCTAGTGGATTTAAAAGAGCTAAAAATAAGCAGTTCATTGTGTGGGTGGGTGCAGGAGTGGGCTGGAGATGCAGCGTCAGAGAAAAAGAGGGAGGGCAGGAATGGAGTGTGGAGGGGAAGGAGAATGCGGGAGTGTACAGGATTAGAGTACCTACAAGGGATGTAAAAATTAACTGGTTAAGAAGGGCCCAACTGGCCAGGCCAGGCTGCTCCCACTAGCACCTATCTGGCATAGCTCCTGGGAATGGGGAGGCACCGGCAGCTGGGTGTGCTGCCAGGAGTGCTTCCTGGCAGCACAAAGACATTTCTGCCCCTTCCCCCAGCTTGCCTTGATTGGGCCCACTGAGCTTGGGGCTCCTCCCCCTTCCTCACCCAGGAGAGGGGAGCCAGCACTGGCATTCCAGGCAGTGCACCCGACTCATGCCACTATGGAGTAATGGTGGGTGAGCCCCGAGCCCCACAGGCTGGATCAAATCAAGTCACAGGCCAAGCCATAAAAATCCATCAGGAAGAATTTTCCAAACTTTCT